ACCTAGAGACATGTCTAGAAAGGCTATCTCTTTCCCAATCTTGGAATTTGTCAGCAATTTGCCAGAAAGTATGAGGGATGAAAGCGAAGCCATCTTCTCAGTGTAACCGCACCACCACACGGTGAGGTAATGTGTGTAGCGCCCCCTATGCACTTGCTTGGGTCATAGCTAATTTGGTCCCCCAATCACCGTCTTCTCTCTTGCTAAAGGTTCCGAGGGGCGGAGTTTGGCAAATTCCAACCACCGATCTCCACCCAGTTAAATTGGCTCACCAGAAAAAACAAACCCCAGAAACCTGATAATCTCTTTCCACCTCCTTCTAAAAGTTCTCTTCTCATCTATTATTAAAGAAGAATAGCTACAGTTATCTGAAAAGGCTATTAAAATTCTCCATTTTCCAACTACATATGTATGTGAGGATGGATTTTCTTTATATATTTCAACCTCAACAACACATTGCAACCAACTGAATGCAGAAGACGATAGCAGAGTCTAGTTATGTTCTGTTGTCAGACATTGAAGAGAATTGCAAAACGTAAAACAGTATCAATCTTCTCACTATTGTTTTTGTTTGTTTTGGAAAAATCATCCAGACAGTCACAATCTTTTTTTCTGTGACTTGTTGACCCTTGGCTTTTTTTTCCCCCTCAAAAGAAATAATTTATTAATTCATTCAAAATAACCATAATCAACCCATTACATGTTAGCATAAATGATATTTTTATGAAAAATATTTTCCAAAACGAAATCAATGAAAAGATTGGCATTGTTTTACTTTTGCGTTTCTTTTTTGCCTGACAATAGAAGATAGGTGGATTCTTATAACACTTTCTGCATTCAGTTGATGGCAATATCTTGTTTAGGTTGAAATATAAGAAGAAAATTCATCCTCACACATATATGAAGTTGCAAAATGGAGAATTTTAATAGCCTTTTCAGATAATTGTAGCTATTCTTCTTTAATAATACATCAAGTGTAAATGGAGGTTTCTTAAAAGTTAGTTGCCATGTGGAATATAAAATCACATCAGTGAACTTTCTGTACTCTCCATTGGTCTCTCTTGTACTTTAATTTTGTAACATCATGCATTGGTCATTTGGAATATAATAGTTCACATTTCATTAGCCAATACCCCCAAAATTACATTTGTTAATATTACCACCAAGTTCAACATAAAACTCTTTAAGTTTTGGGAAGCTGTCAGTCTTACAGTGGTGGATACAAGTTTTCAAAAATTCTGATTTTTACTTGAAAGCTCAAATTTCTTCATGGGCAATGAATACTGTTAGAAGTTTTCTTTGAAGTGCCAGGGTCACTTTATTAATTTATTTTTAATGTATACGCAATAACTAAATCTGAATAATCATAGTTTGTCAGTCATTCTTTCAAGTGTAAAATGGTGTTCCATGAAAAATGTAGTTAGTTCAGCTCAAAAGGTCAATCACATAAGCATTTTTCCTCAAAACAACCATTACAATTCATTCAACATGCAGCAGAATTGGTTTAAGTGCTTCATATTTCATCACCAAAAGACCAAACTCATTGCCATCAAAATCATTTTACTTCATAGCAATGCTATATGGAGAGTAGAATTGCTCCATAGGGATTCCAAAGCTGTAATCTTTCTGGGAACAGACTGCCACATCTTTCTTCTGCAGTGTCTGGTGGGTTCAAACTGCCAATCTTGGTTAGCAGGCAAGTGCTTAACCAATGTGACACCAGGACTCCTCTCATTTAAACCCACTGCCATCCAGTCAACTCTGACTCAAGATCCTCATAAGGTTTCCAAGGCTGTAAATATTTACAGAAGCAGACTGCCTCGTCTTTCTCCCGCAGAACGTCTGGTGGCTTTGAACAGTTGGCCTTTTGGTTAGCAGCCCAAAGCCCTAACCACAGTTTCACCAGAGCTCCTTCCTTTCATTTAATCACATATAATATTGAATAGACATGTGCTCTAGAGTGGAGACTTAATAAATATTTTTACTGTTTCATCAAGTATATTAAGTGAAATTGACTCTTTTTTAGCTGTAAGTGCATGGTAGTAAAGAATACCATCACTGCCAAAAATATCCCCTGAAGGCTTCTTAAAACCAAATCGTAGTTTAGCTTAACTAGTAAAACATATCTGCCTTGAGCATTTTGCTCTTTCAAGATCTATCTATGTGGAATCAAATTGACACTGGGCAACTGGAAAGATCAGATAGGAAATTTAGGGGCAGTGAGTTTACGTTAATGAGGAAGGAACAAGTCAAAGGAGGAGAGAGAGAATGGTTGCAAAATTTAAAAATGTAACCAATGTCACTGAATTGATAGAAACTGTTGAATTGGTATATGTTTTGCTATGAGTATTCTGAACAACAAAATAAATAAAATCAAAACATACACACAATTACTCCTAGTATAATTAGATGGCACTGCCTTGATTTGTGCCAAGGCCCCACAGTTTTACACACACCACTGTTTTTGTACCGTTAGTGAAAATGTCAACATTATTGTTATCACTTGACTTTCATAGCTCTTAGAAGGATCCATTTCTTCTCTTTGCTTTTGCCATTTTAAGTGCATAAAACCTATGTTCTTAACTTGATGGATTGTTTCTCTGTTCCTCTCCAATCCCTACAGCTACCACAAATCTGTCAGGGCCCATCCACAACTTGCTGTGCCATCTGCTTTAGGATGATCTCTTTAAAGTTTTGCCCATGACATTTCTTATGAAAAATGTGATTGTTTCTGTTCTCTCCTCGATACTGCTTAATATATGCTATTTTATAATGTTAGAGGATGAATGGAAACAATTCGTCCAAGGGACTAGAGGATTACTTGATCCTCAACCTCCACAACTCTGAGACCAGAAGAAGTAGATGGTGCCCAGCTACCACTGCCAACCACTCTGAAAAGGATCACAATAAGAGGACCTCGAAAGAGTGGGAGAAAAATGTGGAACTAAACTCAAAATCATAAGTTTAACAGCCTGATAGAGACTGGTGGAACCCCTAAGACCATGGCCCTTAGACACCCTTCAAGCCTGGCACCAAGCCTGAGCCCTTTGCTATTTTTGTGGAAATCCCAAAATTAAAGTTTTATTAGGACGCAGAACCTGTCTCCCACTCCCAACTTACCCATTGCTGTTGAGTCGATTCTCACTCATAAAGACCCTATAGGACAGAGTAAAACTGCCATATAGGGTTTCCAAGCCTGTAAATATTTACAGAAGCAGTCTAGTCTGTCTCATCTTTTTCCTGTGGAGTGGCTGATAGTTTGAAGCCAATGGCCTATTGGTTAGCAGCCGAATGCTTTAACCACTGTGCTACCAGGACTCTTTATTGTCTCCTTACAGACCTAGAAAAGTCCAGAGAAAATAGATCAAAAACATGTGAGCTAGATTTAGCCAATCAGACCCACCTTCTGTGGAATCTGGTGTTAGTATAGTTGATCCTCAAACAACAGGAGTTTGAACTGTGTAGGTCCACTTATATGTGGATATTTTTCAAGATAAGGATCTTGGAGAAATTCAAGAGCTGATAGACACCACACCAGATGAATTAACAGAAGATGACTTGATGGAGATGAGTGTTTCTGAACCAGTGCCAGACGATAGGAAGACGATAGAGAAGCAGCAGTACCAGAAAACAAATGGACATAGACAATCTCCCAGAAAGGTTCCAACTATTCAAAACCGATTTGGACTTCTTTTATGACACGGTTCCTTCTATGATACATGCATAGAAACTAAAGAAAACACTGGAAGAAGGATTGGTACTGTATGGAAACATTTTTAGAGAAATGAAAAAAGGCAAAAAAGTCAGATAGAAATGCAATGTATTTCCATAAAGTTACGTTGAGTATGTCTGCTTCTCCCACCTCCCCTTCTACCTCCTCCACCTTTTCTGCCTTTGCCACCCTGAGACAGCACCACCAATCTCACCTCTTCCTCTTCTTCTTCAGCCTACACAACATGAAGACAAGAGATTGCCCAATCTTCCTTCCAAGAATGGCTGGTGGGTTTGAACCGCCAGCCTTCTGGTTAGCAGTAATGCCTTAGGCACTACACCACCAGAGCTCCCAATGAATAATAAATAATCTTCATGCCATATAGTTAGTATGCTTATCTGGTGTGTGTGTGTGTGTGTGTGTGCGCGCCTTCTTGTGAAAACGGAATAACTATGGAAAGAATTGTGTTAATAGACTGTTTATGTTATCTGCAAGGCTTGTGGTCAACAATAGGCTGTTAAGTTTTGGGGGAGTCAAGTTATTGCCAGAATTTTGACTGGAGGGAGGGGTGGCTCCCCTATCCTCACGCATTTTTCAAGTGTTAACTGTGAAACAAAGAAGCGGGGACAGTGTAGAATTCTTTTGGCCACAGTAGCAGCAACTGCAACAGCCAGTCCCTAGGTTCAGCAATGATAGTAGTGGAAATTATAAGGTCTAGTGTTTGACAGTAGTGGTCTCACCAGGTTAGTTTTAATGGGTGATTTTATCTGCATCCTTAATTTTTCTCCTCTCTTGGTTCCTGTCCATTTTCCTAAGCCTAGTTCTCTAGGCTTCCTGGCTATTCCTTGAGCTACCCACTAGAACCTCAATAAATTTTGCTATGATTAAAGCAATTAGAGTATGTGATATTCAACATCAATGTTGTTGTTGTTGTTGTTATGTGCCGTCGAGTCAAATCCGACTCATAGCGACCCCTCCTTGGGTTTCCGAGGCAGTATCACTACGGAAGTAGGATTGCCCAACCTTCCTTCCGAGGAGTGGCTGGTGGGTTTGAACCGCCAGCCATCTGGTTAGCAGGCAAGTGTCTTAGCCACTATGCTACCAGAGCTCCACATCAATAGGAATATCCAATATAAGAGAGAAGGACACAGAGTTCTGTTTAAGTTCTGGGCACCGTATTTTAATTGGCAGAATAGATTGAAAGCAAGGAAGAGCAACCAGATTGGTGAGGAGATTTAAATCATGAACATGAAGCATAGTTGAAGAAACTGTGAGTTCAGATCGGAGAACAGAAATTTACTGTCTTCAAAGAATGCTCTTTAGAAATGAGGATGGCAAGACTTTGTCTCACGCATTTTGGACATCTTATCAGGAAGGATCTGTCCCTGCAAAAGGACATCATGCTTTCTAGAGAGGGTCAGCGAAAAAGAGGAAGACTCCCAATAAGATGGATTGACACAGTAGCTGCAACAATGGGTTCAAACAGAACAACGATTGTGAGGATGGCGCAGGACCGGGCAATGTTTTCGTTGTGTTGTATATAGGGGTCGCTGTGAGCCGGAGCCAACTCGAGGTACCGAATGACAACAAACAGTACTATGGAAGACGGTGTGAGTTTAATATTTGGTCTAACACGAGAGGGCAGCACTAGCCCAAGTGGAGGAAATTAGGGGAAAGCAGATTGTCACCTTAAAGAGGCAAACTTTCTAACAATGAAAACTACAATGAAACAGGCTGCCTTATTAGAAATGGAAATACTTGACACTGGAATTATTCAAGCAGAAGGTAGGAAATGTGAGTATTTTCAACGGGTTAGATTCTGGGATCTTTGTGGTTCCCTGTAAGTATGAGACTGTATAAAAAACAAACATGGTGACTTGTTTGGCCAAGTATTTCAGTCATCTGATCTAAACATTGTTTTCAGTCTATCAGGTTTTTAAAGTAGTAAATAGACATGATACTAAAGGATTAAACTGTTACCTAGAGCGGTGATAGCAACATAAAGAAGTATATGTACCTAGAAGGGAGATTAAGCCCTATGATATTTCAGGAAAGAATTATATATAAATTTATATAATATGTATAATCCTTCCTTAGGTAGATCTCTCTTGCAGAATACAATAACAAATTATCTTGATTTAAAGATTAAGATCTTTGGGGAAAGACTTCTGTTATCATACTGTTATTACCAGATCATTTTAGCAATAAAATATTTCCTGCTGCTAGATTTTATCTTTTTTTTTTTTTT